AAATCTTCAAATAGCATACATCTTGAATACTTAGCAAAAAAAAAAAAACAAAAACCGACAGCTCATTGTCTTATATTATTTTAGCATGTAGTCTTTATGTTTTATATCTTTCATATCAAGCATTTTGTAGAACTCAACATTTAGCAAAAATGTGATTTGGATCTACTATCTGCAAGGTTCTTTATATGTTAAACATATTAAATATAAACAATACAGTTCAAAAATATCTCAAATTTAGTATGGTTATCTTCACTTTATCGATGGGGAGACTGAGATTTAGAAAGGTTAAATAAATTATCCAATGTCACATAGTTAGTATGTAGGAGAGTCAGAATCTGAACCCAGGTCCCTTTGCCTTTAAACCCAAGTCTCTACTAAAATTTGCATTCCTTTCTAGGGTCTATATTGTGGACACACAAAGACTCATAGCATGAGAGAGTAAGAATAAAGGATATAAATGACTACAGGTATAAAGTAAAACTGAAGTATTATTCTTAAAAGTCATTAAGAAATATATAATGTATAGAAACTATAAGATAAAATTCTATGGGAGTTAAAAATAAAGTGCTATAAGAGTTCAGCACAGGCTCCAAGGAAGAACAGTGAGGATGGGTAAAATGTTAACAAAGGGAAAAAAAAAACATTCTACACAAAAAGATCCCTTGAGCAAAAGTCAGAAGGAACACTGCCTGAGACTGAGGGGGTGTGGTTATGTTCAGATAACAGGTAGTTTTCCAGCTTGACTTTTAAAGTAAAATTGATAAAGAATAGTGAAAAAATAAGGCAGATCAGGAGAGCTTCAAATGCCTCCATTTCTGCTTCTAGTCAGCACTGGATGGACAAAGGTAAAACAGGACCATGTAGACCTAGCTCATTATATATTCCACCGTTCCAATTCAATCTGGCTTTTATATCACTCATTTTTTTTTTTTTTTTGACTAGTACATGTAATCTCTAGATAACCACAATACTTAAAGTGGTTATTCTAGAACTTCTTCTCTCTGGAGCACCTCTATGAAATTCCTACCTGTCCTTTTTATCAATGAACAAACAACCTCCATCTTTTGGAGATTAATAAGACCATGACACAGAACTCACCAAAGTGATCTTCTATATCATTTTCTCATTCTTCCCTTTAGTTGCAGGAAAACAACAAAAAAATCTTCCTTAAGGCAATCCCTCCCACCTAAACTCTAAAACTCTCTCCTCATCATTTCCTCTAGAAGCCGTTTCCTCCCTTTGTGAAAGGATTTGCAAGCACAAATGTGAGAAGTAGGTTTCGGATAAGACAATGAGTATGAAATACTTTATATTTCAGATCAATCATAACACCTACCTCACTATATTGTCTCTCCAAACACTCTGGGAACTACATATATGAACCACATATAGCCTGCTGGCCTGCTACTTTGCAACTTTGACCATATTGCATCTTCAGGTCCTGTCTTTATTTTGTTCATCTCTCTGTCTTCCCCATTACAACTAGGTTCTTGAAGACACAAGCTGTGCTTATTAAAGGAAAAGAGCATGCACATGATTATAATAAAATATGTTAAATATTACAAAAGTGCTATATACATGATGCCATGGGAAGGAAAGAGTTGTCTAGGACAGCTTCTCCTAAGATTGACGGAGCTTAATCTTGATGGTTATTTAGGAGCTTGCTGGGCACACTCAAGAAGTTCTAAAGAATAGGCTATTAAGGAACTGCCAAGTGTTCCTGTATGGCTAAAGGAAAGGCACCAGTAAGATCGCAGCTGCAGATTGAAATTAAAAAAGGAAGCAAGGCTGAGATCACAAAGAGCAATAGGGAGCCATTTGAAGGTTTTGAGGGGGGAAATACAAGAGTTCTCCCTTATTTGCGAGAGATATGTTCAAAGACCCACAGTGGATATGTGAAACTATAGATCATACCAAACCCTATATATGCTGTTTTCCCCTAAACATACATGTCTATTGAAAGGAGGGACCCCGAGAAACTTAGAATAAACTTAGTTCACATTTTGCCTAGCATAACCATTTTTTCTTAGACTGACACACTTTGAATCTAGCACAAGTTAGACACAGACAGATAAATTTCCAATAGGCAGGTTTTAGGAAGCTTTCAGACATTTTACTGCAGGCCAAGCTGGCAGCCTACTCCACCCCCTTGGGAAATCAAAGGAAAACTCCATCAGATGCAAGATAAGGACAACCCAACCTTTCAATTCATGGTTTAGCATAATAATCTCTAAGAAAATTTCAGGTTCCTTGTCTAAGATGGAAGGTCAAAGATCACCCCCTAGCTGGCTGAAGCCATTGAAATGATAATAAGACCACTTTCTTGCTAAAGAGTTTGTGGATTAGAAAGTCTGACAGGTCTCTTGCAGGAAAAACCCCTCCCTTTGCCTCCTCCCATCTAGCCCACCACCATGGCAGCAATCATGTGACTAACCCACCTATCTGCCTGCTGTCCTTCACCTGACTTCAGTACCTGCTCTTATCTGCCCCTTCCTGATGATGTGGAGCAGACCATCACCCATTCACCTTAATGACTTTCTCCCATCAAAGGGAAGAATTAAAAGGATTCTACCACAAGCAACCAGTCGCCATTGCCTTGCTAAGCTATGGTGTGGTAATGTGCTCTCTGAGCTATGGCCAGGCCATGTTTCCTGGCTTTGGCCCCCTCCCCTACCTTGGGGAAGTGAATCTCCTCTCTCTTTTTCTTTCTAATTTAGTTTTTAAATAAACCACAATTTCCAATCTAACTTCTGTGCAATTCTTTGCATCTTTCATGCAGCATCCGATTGCACATCAGATACCCACACCCCTAGCGGGCCTGACCTAACATTCTGGAAGCCCTGTGGAGAGTGTGACCTAACACCTATGATAAAAGTTTAATTTATAAATCAGGCTCAGTAAGAAATTAGCAATAATAAAATAGAACAATTTTTATGTGAATGAATCAACATCTCTCTCTCCTCCCCCCCAAATGTCTTATTATACTGAAACTACAGAAAGCAAAATCACAAATAAGGGAGCATGATCTCTGGTAACAGTCTAGAATGCACATGGGCAAGTGAGAGACTGAAGACAAGGAGACTGCTTAGGAAGCTATAGCAATCACAGGGGTGTTAAATGATGATAGTCTGAACTAAGGAAGTAACAGTGTGGGTAATTAAGGGAGAAAATGGATAGTTATTTAGGAAAAATAGTCAACAGAACTTAATAATTGATTGGATGTGGAGGAATCTGAAATATTTTACTAGCTTCTGGCATAGTCCATTAGATTGCTTATATAATGCCAACACTAGAAAGACAAGCTGGTTCTAGTCCATATGAAAGTAAACTCAAAATTCCTTTTCTCCTCAAACTCCCTTATTTAGCCCCAACCTTCCTACACCTACCATCCAGTTTAATACAGGTCCTCAATGACTCACTCAAAAGTCTCCTAAGTATCTTCCCAAACAAGTTTCTGTCTATCCTAATCCAGTACTTCTTAAAGTGTGAAGTACTTCTTATACTACCTTAACACACTACCTTAACAGAATCTCTGGTAGTGCTAGATAAAAATGCAAATTTCTTGCCACATCAAGACTTCCTAAATCATAAAAGGATTCAGAAGGAAAAAGTGTGCAATTTTATGTACTTTCAAGTTTGAGAACCATTAGCCTAATCCAGCCTACCTACCTATCAAATTTATTTGTCTTAAACACTGCTTTCATCATGTCACTTCCTTGCTCAAATTAATATCTAATCTTCTGCCTGGACTTCAAGATCTTCTTTCAACTTGATTTTTTAAATCTTTCCAATATACATTCTTTATTCCAACAAAGTCCATCTCTTCTCTCACTTCCCCTGCCCCTCACATGGTTTGGTTCTCTCTCCAGGCCTTTGCATTTACTATTAATTCCAGAACCTGAGAATATCTCCAGTTTTCTTCTCCTTAGTCAAATCCTAGTCATCATAACTAACTATCCCTGAAAACCCAGCTTAAGTGTGGAAATTTACGTCGCATTTTCTCTAATTAGTCCAACCTCACTTCTCTCTCCTACTTATGAATTCCTATTACACTTATAATCAGCATGTACAATGTAAGGTTTGATTATTTCAACATATACCAACTAGAAGTCTTATCTAATTCTCATTTGCTAGTCATTAGTGCACCCAGCACAATTCTTGGAACATATTATGATTTTTGGAATTATCCTGAAAGGCTGATGACTTTTTCCCCTTAGATATCACATAAATTTTTAAAAAGAAGAAGAAGAAGAAAAGAAGAAATTTTTTTTAAAAAGCAAAACAAATATTAAATACATTCACTGTTTTGGATATTTCAGTACTCAATGATGTTAAAGATAATGTTTCCTACTACCCTGTTCTCTAAATAAAGAATGCTTAGTCATGAAGGAAAGGTACCATAAAGCCTTTAAATGGTAGCAACAGAAACAAGCTTAAAAGATAATTTAAGCTAATCATTTAACTTTATCCATTTAAGAACTGAACCCCAGAGAAATTACATGATTTGCCCAAAGTTGCCGAGCTGATTATAAGCAATCAACAAAGACAATCATCCACACCTTCTGACTGCATGCCAAGGGTTGTTGTCGTTACATTATGTGCTCAATGATACTAACAAACTGACATACTTTAATAAGAATTCCTGTTAACATAAACCATCATTTTAGGAATCTCCCTCTGCAATCCTGAGAAATTGAGGTAAAACATGGAATTTCATCAGAATCATAAAGACTGACATAGGCATAATTCAAAAAAAGCAAAAGTGAAAACTTCTAAGACAAAATACATGGGAGTTTTCTAGATCTAAAACATCTCCCAAAACCACAGAAAAAATACTTGCCAGAGCTAAATTCTAATAAACTTATCTTAATATTCATCTCAATGGTTTGGTAAAATAGACACCAAAAGAAGAACCAAACATATAAAATATCACAAGCAAAAATCTCAATTTCAAAAAGCACAAATGTATATCTGAGGGTAAAACACATCTTTGTACTCACCGTAACTTTACTTCCAACTATCTGCATGCAGTGGTCAACGAAGAGTGGTTATGGTGTAAAAAAAAACAAACAGCAACAATATTAGTAATTCGAAGCTTTTCACAGAAGTTAAGAGTTTAGTAAATTAGTAAATAGCTAATCCTATTTTTACATTTAATATTTTAGATCTAGAGGATAAAACAAATATATCAAAATATTAATTTCTACTATGTTTCAAAAATATCTAAAGTCTACAGAATAAGGATTCACAAAAAAATTAAAATTATTATTTGAGAATTTTTTAAAATGTACTGTAATGGGCTTCTCATACAGTGCAACCTAAATATGAAGTTATGCAAGGGTGTGTAATCAGGCATCATATTTAATATCAGCTTGTAGTCCCTGAAAAACTTGCCAACAGAATATTTACTTTTTTTCAAAATACTGCTTTTTATTTTCTGTACTTCATATGGCAGGTATGCTATTAAGGTTGAAACAAGGTATTTTAGAATATAAATGTTGCATTTAAAGTCATGCTTTAAGTTCAGAAGTGAACATTTTGTTGAAAACTGGAAATTTTAGTGTTATGAATTTAAGGTCTTAATATTGTTTTATACTTGAAAATTACAAAAAAGATAGATTGCTTATTATTCTAGTTTTCTAGGTCATACTAGCATTTCTACTATAAGACTGGATTTTTCTATATAGTGTGAAGACAGCATTTTGTATCTAAATTAATACACATATTCATAAAGAGAAGAGTTGAAAAATTGCAACTTTGAGCTTTTTGGGTGAATAAGAGGTAAAAGAATTTCTGAGAGGCAGAATCGTATTTAAGAAAGCAAGAAGTAAAGTCATAGTCTTTTTTTTTTTTGAGTTGGAGTCTCACTCTGTTGCCCAGGCTGGAGTGCAGTGGGACACTCACAGCCACCCCAGCGTCAGCCTGCTGGGCTCCAGTGAGCCTTCCACCTCAACCTTCCAAGTAGCCGGAACTACAGGCACGCACTACCACGCCCAGCTAATTTTTTTATTTATTGTAAAGACGAGGTCTCGCCAAGTTGCCCAGGCTGGTCTTGAACCCGTGGGCTCAGGCAATCCAGTTGCCTCGGCCTCCCAAAGTGCTGGGATTACAGACTGAGCCACTGAGCTCGGCCAAGTCATAGTCTTAAACATAATTTTATGCCAAAATCCAAATATAAATCAAATCATCACTTTCAGATTCCCATACTTGAACATCAAGCAATGTCCAAAAATCAGCCAATCCACAATCTAAAACCATTATTCTGGTAGCAGTTATTATCAAAACGTGTTCTATTTTACAGCTAGTGCTTTAAAAGTAAAAATCAAATTTAACTGATACCCCAGTAAGAATCCTAAGTTGAACAGGATCACAGGACACAAGAAAATTACAGTTTCCAAGTAAATTATTTCAGAGAAATCTATGAATCTCCAAATAGAGAAATAGCTTTCTTAAATATTCATTCAACAGACTATTTACAAGCAATGATTATTTAGTTGAATAAAAGCCTCTTTGGTGCCATTAACACTCTCCTGAATTAAAAGATATGCTATTGACCTAAATTATTTCCTCCCTCCAAAAAGAGGTTGTATTTGTCCCTTGTTTATTTAGTACAGACATGATACTAAAAAAAGAATGTGAGCCTCTCTTAACAATTAAGGCAGGTCTATATTCAGTGAAACAACCAGAATGTGGCCTATTTAATGATTCATTCAGACTGCAAAATGACTGCATTTAGCTAAAGCACGTACAGCAATAAATAAGATTTATCAGCCAAGGAAAGCTAAGAAAATTATTTTGGTCACGTCTAGTTTCAATTGTTTTGTCATATGGAGACCATACCTGAAAAAGACCTGAGAGAGAAAGTATCTGACAATGACAAAAGAAAAATCATAACACATATATACGCGTATATAGATAGCTATACTCCAACTTTTAACTACTTGTTATACAAGTTAGTCTAAAAAATCTGGTGCTGTAGCTTGTATCACCATTTTAAATTATTTCTTATTGAGATTTAAAAAAATCAATGCTACCTTTCAATGGCTCTCGCATCTTAAAAACTATAATTTTATGGGTTTTTAAATCTCAACTTCAAAGATTATTATTTAAATTAGAAATAAACTAGTTTCTTAATATTCTAATAAAGACATTGACATTTGGCAAACTATTGTTAGGACTTCAGTGAATAACTTTTCTTCATAAATATCTATATATGCTGTTAAGTATATGCAAGATTCCCTCTAAATCAGAGTTACTCAAACTACTTTTTCCTTTAACATTCACACAACTTAACATTCTCTATTAGAAGAAAAAACTAAGCAATAGTTTTGATCATTATCTTATGATTTCCTTTTATAGTCTGTTACTCTATGCTAATTTTAGCAAAGTTAATTATACAACAAAAGACTCTTGTTTGCTTTAGAAACAAGTTTTGACCACATATCTGTGTATACCTTCATTTTACTTTAATATCCTTACCAAGGAACCCAAGAGCATGTTGGATATTTCTTATTAAGTGCATTTTGTTTGTTTAGTCTTAGATCCCATAAAAAATGACTAATGCAGGTACTAATGCAGGGAGATGTACAATTTATATTTAAATTTAACTATCATTCTCACATGTTTTACATGTGACTACAAGACATTTTTTCCACAAAGGATGCTAGCCCTTATGTTTGATTTTACTTCAAGATGAAAGTTTTAACTGCCTATAATGCATTTTCATAATGTACTGATTACAACTGTACCTATTTCCAGTGAAAAAAATTTAAACAGTATATCAATATAATGAAAAAGCAAGCATAAAAAAGTACAAGACATGTAAAGCATATTTAAAGCCTAATAAAAAACAGACAGCAGAATGGAAATCTTGGTCACACACAGGTAACAGCCATACATTCAGGTCTAATTGTTGCAAATTTTATTGTTGTGATAATGAAGAGGTCAAAAGATTGGAATATTGTTTGTCATTGAATGCCATTCCTCTCACCTTCAAAAGGAAATTACATAAACAATTTTCATGGTTTTCATGATAGAAAACACAGTACTAATTAATGTTTTTCCAAGGTGAGAAAGCTTCAAAACATACTTGTCAACAGATTTTCTTCCATCATAATATTTGGTCCATGAAAAATATTAGTAAAAAATTTATAATCTTTAACTCTTATAAAAGTGCCATGTACATGTGAGGTGCTTATATGTATATGAATGAAACAAATAAGGGTCTTTATTAAATAGTACTGATTTTGAGGCTAACACCTTAAACATAGAATTTTCATGTTTTTGAGAAACATTCAATTTCCACCTTTTGAATAAAGCAATTCAAGTGAGCTCATCGAGTATTTACCTAAAGCTTTGCATTTTAATATGAAAAATGAGAATAAAACTTAAAATGTGCATTTCTTTGGTCACTTGAAAAGGAAATAATATGAGAAATGAAAACAAATTCTACATAGAGATCGAGTAATAATCAAAAGGTCAAGGAATAAGAGCTTCATATAATCTTCATTATATTCAGTCCCATTTACACAGACAACAACAGCTGAGCCAGAGACACCAACAAAATCATATTATCAAAACCACCACATGATTATTCATATTTTATTATCTGTACTTTGCACTCAGATTCCGTTATATAGATTTACGTGTGTATTAGCCTTTAGGTATTTGAAAAATAACACTGAATGTACACCCTACATTTCCTAAAGCATCTTACTGTGAACAATAATTTGAGTGCAAAAATGAGAAAAGATTCATCAGAATTTCAAAGTAAAACCCTATGCATCACCTAATTCTATTGAAAACTACGCTCATGGCAAATTTCACTTATCACTTGAAACATATTTCTGCCCTTGGATACCAGAAGCAAATTAAAAAACATGCTGTTGCTCTGCTCTGGCAGAGCTGCAATGCATTATGTTTAAATTGTTCAGCATTCAGATTTAGCTTGCTTAAAGTACAATATAGAATCAATACAATCATAGAATTCAGGGAAAATGCATTAGTAATTGCCACTGGAATTACTGTCCTGAAATAGCATTAATAGGATAGCCAAATAACTTTAGAATTTTTCCAGTGAAAATCTCTTTTCTTCACCAGTCAACTTTTTAAATTAAAAAATATATATATATTAAAATATATATTTTTTAATTGTATATGTGTGTATATACACACATTTGTATAATATACACATACACATATATACACAAATAAAATCCCTGTATATATATATATACACACACACACACACACACACACACATATACACACACATCCCATGATTTTATAAACTCTAGATATGAAAAGCTTTTTCTTTACAGAAATATGAAAAATGCATTTTGCCATTTCAAAAATACATTTTTTCTTACCGAAAAAAATAAAACCTTAAGACTATTTTAGGCAGTACATTAGGAAGTGAACAAAGCAAAATACTCCATTAAAACACTAAGTTTCTTCTGTTAATAACATGTCCTTTCCATGAACTCTACTTTGAGACTCTACTTTAAGACTCACAAACAGATTTGATTAAAGCTCCTATTAAGTGCCCTCCTTTATATTAAATGAAGCTATATAATAACCATTATGAAGCAGCTTACATAGCTTATATCACATAAAATTTTAAAAAACTAAATGCATATTCAAAATTATTGCTAAAAATGTCATGCAAGCATCAGACATGAAGCTTTAATGTAAACTAAATTAAAACTGTGGCTATGCTATGTTTATGTCTTCTCCCTCAAAATTCCAAATTTCCATCTAACAAACCACATTTTAAGTGGAATACTTTCAAAATGCTGTCAATTTTTATTAAGTGTGCAAAACCTCAGCCCCAACTCATTGGATTACCTCAGAGCTCTGTATCCTCTGTCTTGTTTGTAATAATGAAAGTGTTTCATTTCTAATGATGTATAGTTTGAAGAAACATACTAAATGTGTAAAAGTGCATATATACATTGTTTTCTGAACAGACTGTGAGTACACTGAAGCAAGAACTTGAAGATCTGAAGTTTATTTCTAAGCAAATAATACTAAGCTCATTGGTCATTCTGTTGGTGCCAGGAAAGTCTCCCTACTTACAGATTTGGCAGTGGCAGAAATATACTGGACAACCATATCACGCTTGGTGGTAAAATCTTTGTTTCGTAAAGGAGCTTTTTTTTCTTCATTAAGGTTCATGTCCTCCTGTAAAAAAAGAACATTTACTCTGAGTATTGATAAATTTCTGCTTAAGAGTTTCAAAGGTGATTAATACATATTAATAATTTCTATGTCCTAAAATACTAATCCATGCTGTAACTAACAATCCTTTTATTCATAATCACTATTTTTTCCCTCTAGATACTATAATTTTGTGTAAATTTTACCATGTATTCATAGTTAATATCCCTACCTAGCCACCTAGTGAGCAGAAAGAAAAAAAATAATTAACTATTTACAGAATAAACTGACAGTATAGCATTGATATACATTATATATCCCTAGCAAAGCTCTTTATGTGATAACAAAAACACATACATATACACAAATTACAACTTGGCATTGTCTCCCTTAGGATTGCTATTATCCAGGAAAGCAAATATGATTTGCAAACTAACAGGGACTATATACTTATAAGATGTCATTGAAGAAAAATTCACAAGAAGTTGCTGAATTTGAAAAAGCAGAAATATAGTTAGCTATATTGGGGTAACAAATATCACTCACAGAGGGAAAAATACTCAGCGATAAGAACAAATTGTTTTTAAGGTTCAATAAGGTTTAATTTGGTTAGAAATCTACCTTTATTTTGTGATACACATACATACATAACATTTTCATTAGACAAATTATGTTTCTTCATTTTGAAACTCATATTAATCCTATTAATCATATTAATGAAACACATGACGACACCCTTGACAAAGTTACAAAAACAAGTTGGAAATGATTGTACATCAAAATGCAAAATCAAACGAAAAGTCAATTTATAGAATGAGTGAAATGCTTACAAATCATACATCTGATAAAGATACATGCCCAGATATACAAAGAACTTTACAACTCAACAATAAAAAGACAAATAGCCCAGTTACACATGGGCAAAACATTTGAATAAGCATTTCTCTAAAGAAAATATACAAATGGCTAACAAGCACATGAAAAGATGCTCAACATCATTAATCAGTAGGGATATGCAAATCAAAACCACAATGATATACCATTTCACTCCCACTAGAATGATGAGAATAAAAAAGATGACAATAATAAATGTTGGCAAGCATGTGGAGAAATGGAACCCTCACACATTGGTGGGAATATGAAATGATACAGCCATTTTGAAAAACAGTCTGGCAGTTCCTTAAAAAGTTAAACATGGAATTATTTGCCACATGATATAGCTTATATACCCAAGAGAAATGAAAACTTAAACATGGAATTATTTACCACATGATCTAGCTTATATACCCAAGAGAAATGAAAACGTATGTCCACATAAAAACTTATACACAAATGCTCATAGTAGCATTATTCTTTAAAACAATGAAAATGTCCATCAACTGATGAATGAATAAACAAATTATGATACATCCATACAATAAAATAGTATTCAGCTACAAAAAGGAATGAAGTACTGATATATGTCATAAAATGGATGAATCTTGAATTTAAACTATGCTAAGTGAAAGAAGCCAGTCACAAAAGACCACATATTATAAGATTCCATTTATATTAAATGCCCAGAATAGGAAGTTCCATAGACAGAAAATAAAACAGTCGCCGCCAGGGCCAGGTGACAAGGGCAGGGGGGACTGGGATATGACTGATTATGGGTATGGTGTTTCTTTTGGGGATGATACAAATGTTCTAAAATTGATTGCTCTGTTAGTTGCACACTCTTTGAATATACTAAAAGATAATGAATTGCACATTTTGAAAGGATGAATTTTATGGTATGTGAATTATATCTCATTTTTTTAAGGAAAAAATCATTACTTTTATCACTCTACTTACTCTTACAGTAATTCTGACCATTCTATATTTTAATCAAATAAAGGGCAAAGAACAATAGTCAAGTTACTTTAAAGACTCATATGTGAGAATGTGCAACCCAAAGAATCCTAAAAAAAAGTCAAACTGTACCTATCTATTGAATAGTAACTCTGAAACCACTGCAGTGACTTCTGTGATGATCCATTCATGGTCAGTACTTACAAATTTCATGCATATAACACATGACCTCTGCTCCTAATCACCTGAATCACTATGTCTATCTCTACTTTTTCTATATTACATTCTATTTCTCATTTGGATAACTTGTTAATGACTTACTAGAAGGCAAAAGATATTTTTCTTTGTCTCTCATACGTTCTAGCATTGTTGAATCAAAGTAGAATCACAGAAACTAGGCTGGATAGCACTTTTAATGTAGTCCACAGATTTTAACTGTGTTCTGCATCTATTTATTTTTTTTTATAATCAATATTTTTTATTGTGATATTGAGGGGTACAGTTAAGGGTTAGGTATACAAATATGCTTCGTTCAGGCACCCTTGTTGGTAAGAGGTGTCCCCTGTCCCCAGAAAGATATTTACTACCATTAATCCCATCTCCCTTCCCCTTCCCCCCCATAGTTTCCCACCACTGTCAGTCATTTTCTTATGGTAATACGTTGGATGATCAAGGTCCACTATATGAGTGAGAACATGTGATACTCAATCTTTGTTTCTGTGAGAGGTCACTCAGTCTTATAGACTCTAGTTCCATTCAGGTTGCTGCAAAATTCAAGATTTTGTTTTTTTTTATGGCTGCATAGTATTCCATCGTGTATATGTACCACATTTTTTTAATCCAGTCTCTTTTGATAGACAGCATGGTTGGTTCCAGGTTCTTGCTATTGTGAACAATGCTGTGATAAACATTCGTGTGGAGGTATCTTTTTGATAGAGTGATTTGAGTTCTTCAGAGTATATTCCCAGTAGGGGGGTTGCAGGGTCATATGGGAGGTTGATATTTAGAGCTTTTAGGAATCGCCACACTGCTTTCCACAGAGGTTGCACTAGTTTACACTCCCACCAACAGTGTAGAAGGGTTCCCTTTTCGCCACACCCTCTCCAGCAACTGTTATTTTTTGAGTTATTGATAATTGCCATTCTGACTGGAGTTAGGTGGCATCTCTGTGTGGTTTTGATTTGCATCTCCCTGATGATTAGTGAGGTTGAATTCTGCATCTATTTCAACCAACATGGAACTTACTACCTCCTCATACTGCCCAGTTCATCTTAGGGCAGCTTAATTTTTGCCAAGTTTTTCCTTAGAGAATTGAGCATGAAATGTGTACAATAAAATACTAATCATGTGTTAAGCTGACTGGCAGGACTATTTCATGCTTTGTTTTGTTTTTTTCTTCTCTTTCAAATTTTGAATCACTTATTTACAGGACACAGCTATGCACCATAGACTATACTAGGCTGGCTAGGGGAGTACACACTTGATAGACTGTGTTTACACTCAAATTAAGTGTTAATTTATGAAACATTTAGAACAATGCCTGATATTTAGTAAATGCTATATAGGTATGGTTGTTGAATAAACAATTCATGGTCTACTAGGAACAAACAATTCTGATAGAGGCATGTACAGGATTCTTTGAAAACACAGAGGACAGAAGGAAAGGTCAGAGAAGTCTTCACCAGGATTCAGGTCTCAAAGGATGAGAAAAATATGACTGAAGGCAAGGGGATCAGCCAGGAGACTCAAGTGGTCAACTTATTTTTGGCTGCCCAACATCATTTGGACACGCCCTTTACATTTTAATACATCCTCACATTGTCAGTCCTACCTAACAAAGGTAGAATCTATAAAAACTACATTTGTCAGTCTCCCTTATAACTAGAAGACAGGCATTGGCTTAGCCTCCACCAGTAAAATGCATTTATAGTAGCTGCATCTTTTTCATTAAGACAGTCTAACCAAGTGGTTCTGGGATGACAACAGCTCCTTAATCAGACTATATTTCAGTTGTGTGGTCATGGAAGTTATTCTTGTAATGAAACCTGGAGCCTGTTTCTGCAACTCTCCTAATTCAAGAGTTACTTAATATCCCTTAATATTATATTCTAGCCGGGCTCAGTGGCTCAGCCTGTAATCCCGCACCTTTGGGAGGCTGAAGTGAGTGGATTGCCTGAGCCCGCGGGTTCGAGACCCACCTGGGCAGCGAGACCTCATCTCTACAATAAAAATCAAAAAATCAGTCGGGCGTGGTAGTGCATGCCTGTAATTCCAGCTACTTGGAAGGTTGAGGCGGAAGGATCGCCGGAGCCCAGCAGGTCTAGGCTGTGGTGACCGGGAGTGGCCACTGCACTCCAGTCTGGGTGACAGAGTGAGACTCCAACTCAAAAAAAAAAAAAAATTATATTCTATTTAAACTAGTCAGAGTGGATTTTCTTATGTTCAATAATTTGGGGTACTGAAGTAATTAAAGGGACTAATGATAAAAGTTGAACTAAAAATTGTAGTCAAATTGGACAGAAGGAAATCGATTCAAGAGCTATGTAAATGTGATTTGAAGGCAGCATTTTCTTTTTCAGGCTAAGTATACCTACCTGCTTCACCTTATCTTCATGTGACATAGCTTAGCATCTATGTCTCTCTCTCTCTCTCAAATGGTCTGTGGTTTGATCAACACAAGGAAGGAAAGGATTCTACCTCCCTCATCTTTAAATACTGTAACTCTATTAATTCAATCTCTGATTGTATTACCTTATTGGCCAAGCACATCATTCGGCTGACTCAAACTGTATTTTCATCAAAATCCCTAAACTCTGCTCACATATGCTAGGGTATGTCTCTACTGCCTAAAAAAATTCAGACTAAATTTCAGTCTCCTGTAAATGTGGTTATCATGAATCCGAATCTCCCAAATAGAATCAACTCTGGAACACTGACAAGTCTGTGTCTGTCCTTGTGCACTTCACAGCCAGTCCTAAGAGTGTGATGCTGCCATTCCTGGCAGTCTCTAGGTAGAGAACCTGCTCTGTTTCCCATGATATTTCCACATTACTATGTACCTCCATTCAATTTTTAATGGCACACACTGCTGAGATCATGCCATCAGAGGATAATTATTTTGTAGGGAGGTAGGCAGGACAGTAAGGGCAATGTAAGACTATACACCTCAGAGGAATGTTGTCAAGATTGAGTGT